ATGAACATTGTGAATATTTCACAAGTTATCGCAATGTAATGAGTTAAGCTTTGTTATGCTTCTTTCAATAGCCATGAATATTATCTCAATATTATTTATATAGGGTCCGGTCCATTTCCTAGTTAACCAAGTCGTATCTGTTTACGTCTGTTACAGTATTTAGCTATTGCGCAATATTATAATTATATCAATCATATCATTATAACAATATTATACTTTGTGTTTAGCTGGAAATTAGTCAAGTAAAGCTGAGTTATGATATAAGAGTTGTCTGTTTATCTATTGGGTTACCACAATCACATTTCATTATTCAATATAAGTTCATCAATATTATTTTCAAGATGTTAGACATGCACCCAAGACTCCTCTTTCTTAAGAACTTTTTTCCTCTCCGAAAGTTGCAATGCAGAAAGTCATAAGCTGGATAACCCACAGGGGGTATGGACACCAAAAAATATTTTGATAAACCAAATGCACGAATTAGATCGATCGCCATCGAATATTGTAACTGAAGCAAACATAATAAAGAGTGAGATACGCTTTGTAAATAAAAATTTACAATATAAAAAAAGTTTTATATTTAAATAAACATTTTTTAAATTTGTATTTATGAAAATGCATTTTCATTAAATATTGAGGTATTTGAAAAAATAAAATATCTACTACTCGTTTATTGAACTTACCTTCTTGGTAGCAAAGTTCACAGAATCTGTTCCAGACAACGTCTTGTCTAATAAACTATTTAAATATCCAAGTAAACGGTTTATATTGGTGTTATCAGTAGATATATTCAGATCATCAGATTTTCACTACTATACAGCGGCTGGACATAAAAATAATAGATATGTTTCATAATCTTCCAAGTTGCAATCAAAATGTCTGTTACCTTCAATTGATATTCTTGCAGATTTACTCCGTCAGAAACGTTGGCTCATTATCACTTGTACAACACTTTTTATACTTCTTTGTATTTGCGTAGTTGCAGCGTATCTTCTGAGTAAGTTTATTCGCTTTTCTTAGATATAGAATTAATTAGATTGGGTAAAATAATATGAGACGGATTTAAAATGAACATGTGTGTAATGTTCCAGAGAAAAAAATAAAATCATACATCACGTTTAGCATGTTTAGCAATTGTCATTGCATCTTTCAGATAACGTGTTCAAAGATTCTACAGATGAAAAAATTCAGAAAAAACAAAAGAAAATAGAAAATTTGAAGATATTGATCAAGCAACAAGGTAACGAATTATATAGCAGATTATATTCAAATTGGCTTAATTATATTTATTATATCTGACTTAGATTCGTGCTCTCATAAAAAAAATTTCACAATTTGCTTTTGGCCGAACGAGACTGGATTAATTTACAATAATCTGTAGTTCATGTCTCTTTTTTATTTTTATTCTGAAATACGAAGTATCAAACGGATCTCCAGCGTATACATACCGGTCCATTGATTATAATTACTGACAATGGTTTCGAAAACCTATTAGTGCACGTATTTCAGTGATGGAATTAATAATAACTATCACTTCTTAGAAAAATATATTGAGGTCGTTGGCAAAATATTTTTGACTGACACTGGACAGGAAGGACAATATCTCACATATCATGAAGGCAATATTTCATGCGCAAAATATCAAGCAACAATTGCACAAATAGAAAATAAACAAGAATATTATGACGCTGTAGTAAAAATGCTTCGTCGGAAGACTGGACTCATTACTGTCTGGATTGGCTTACAAATAAATCCCATAGTGAGTGTTGTAATGTAAAATTTCCTGATTCAAAGTCTGGGTTTTATTTGATTCATTTATTTATTTAGTGATTTATTTTGGGCAACTGAGGGTCCAATTAGTTCAAATAGTCAGTACACGAGGCAAGAAACAAACGCTGGGACGCTTTATTCTTTGACTTTTGCGTCGTTTGAGATACGATATTAACAGTATAGTTTGGCGACATGAATGAATAATAATTTAATAAGAATATGCCAATAAATTTTACAATAAAATCGATTTAAAAGTTTCTAAGTATCAGAATGTTTTATATTGCTTTTATTTATTGAACTGGACCGATGAATTGCTTCGCCAAATTCTTGTTGTTTTTATTATACTGTTGCGCGTGTTGTTGTTGGTAAAAAGTAAATTACTAAAACTAATAAACCAACCAATTTCATATTGTTATTCCTCTAAGATAGTTAAATTTAAAACAGACGTCCATCACGTTTAATGGAATACGTAACGATCAATTCCGCCCATTCACTAATTATGTCTGCAAATTTGCTGCTCAGTTGAAGATTTACCATACTGTATCGTTCTCGAATATTTGAGCATTGTTCTATTGTTTTTCAGACAGGCGTTCTCAATCCACTTGACGGATCCACAAAATGGTTTGGTATCGAACCAGGCATCGGCTGGGGATACGAATATTACTCAAGAGTCTCACTCGTAGTACGCTCCGATCCAATTAATAATTTTCAAGGAATGATGAACTGCCCACCATGGTGGGCGAGGGATAGAGTTATATGCCAGCTATGAGACTTCATGTAGGCCTAAAACAACAGTCGTCTTTGATTTTTCGACTCGAAATGTACATATGTGCCGTTTTGCTAAATTTTTGTTACTGGAGACTGGAGTTATGGTTGTTGTTGTGAAAAATCGCTTTTGTCCGTATCTCATAGGCCAATTACTTTAATGTAAATCAATCTCTATATATATATATATTCCATTTTGAAGTGTTTCAGCGTTACAGAGCACTTCTCATAAGCTGTGGTAAACGGACTAACCCTCGAGATGAAAGTTTGGACCAAATACATAGGGTGTTCATAAAGTCTATATTTTTTTGAACTGCGAATTTATTGAAACCATATATTGTTTTGGCCCCCACAAATGTATTGGATGAAGTAAAAATACTTGAACAGCTACTGATTAAAAAACAACAAACCTGGTTAAAATATATTGAGAACTGCTTCATCACAAAATTGAAATTGTAAAGGGACTTTATGAGCACCCTAGAAGGGTGTCGTGGTCCTTACTGTCAAAAGCAAGTGGAACTAGCCATCTGCAACAATATAGAAATGCTTGAACATATATGAACAAGAATGTGGTGTAGAAATGTATCCTCAAAATCATTCGACAATAAATTCACATAATGCTGAATTATTTCAAAAACGGAAATGATTGGGTTCAGGACCGCCAGGTGTTTTGGGGAAATTTGAAAAAATTATTACAGCTGGAGCATTTTGGAAAAGAAGACGTTTTTATATACGGTATATGCAATGGCTAATAACATTTTGTATTGTAAGGAATGACAAAGTTTGGCCAGCTCATTGAACCAAACATAATTTTTATTTCAAACGTGTTTTTTCCTGCATTATGTATTTATGAATTTGACCTGTTTGTGCATGACTGAAAGCAGAGTTGTGCAAACTTCGATTAAACTCACCAAAGAAAGGTGAACGCAGAACCAATCCGGTCAACAAACAAAGTATTGTGTCAACTGTGAGCAAGCGACAACCCCAGTGTGACTTTACATTAACTGATGCGCCACGATCCCTAGCCTAATATTCGAAACTTGCTAGCGAGAAGAATGCAGTATTAAATCTTCTTTGCATCACTTTTGAGTAACGGCCAAGGAAGAAGAATGGCCAATATTATAACGTAACTCCATTCCACAAAATGTACGGTAGGCAAACTAGATGTTGTGTTATACAAGAAGCATTTATCAATTATAGGCAGAAAACTCGAAGTTTGCGTTTACTGTTTTTGAAATATTTCATTACCGGTATATTCTCGATGCAGAGCCGCTTTCTCAAATCAAATCTCTTAATTGATACGAGCGAGGATTGTTCTTCTTTCAAGTGAACTTCGAAGTTCAATGTGTCATTTTTTAAATTAAAAAAATTAAAACAAAATAAAAATCAATTATAAAATTGTACGACACTAAATTTTCCACTTGTGAGTGAAGATTTTTTCTTTTTTAAATGAACTTTGAAGATCAATGTGTGAACTTGATGGCCTTATGGCATTGGCGTTGGACATAATTATCTGGGCGTTTGAGTTTGCATATATCGAATTAAATAACCATAACACTTTGCCAATGTGTAGCAAATCTGTTCCTGTTAAAACTTTGTAACTCTCTTCGTTTAATTCCAGTTTGGGCCGCACCGTTTCAGGGGCGAAATTGTACAAATTTACATTGACAGCTATCGTTATCTAGTGTAGAACAGCTGTGGTTACGTTCAGGCTATTCACCACTGTATCAGAGTGACAACCAGGATTATAATGATGTCATTACCTGTTGTTTTTTTTTAAAGTAAACGAAGTGAGGATAACTAGGAATAGCATATTCACTTTCCTCGAAATAGCAAGAAAGCTTTCGTTGGATCGTTGTCTAACTTCTTTAGACAAAACGAGATATAATTGCAAATATGAAAGATCATAATAATGGTCAATTCAAGTTACTATAATGAATTTTGGAAATGCTAGGTAGGGATGGTCCGTCTCTACTTCTTTGTCTAAATCAGGTTTCTCCAACTCAAAATATGTCATGGGCCACTTTTTGAACTTTATTGACGACGCGGGCCGCAAACCATGACCAATCTAATGATTCACTTGTAACAAAATATTACATACACTGCTCCCGTATATATTTCCCATCATAACTAATTTATTGAACTAATTAGCAGAACTTCCAAATTCGCACCTGAACCTCATAAAAATTCAAGCGACTGGTTTTCTAGGGTTTGTTCTGATTAGCTTACGCGCATTTGCGGAAGAACATCGGATATTTTTCAGAGGAGCTGGATCATAACTCCGGTAGTCGCCTAAAAGTTCCTACAAGACATGAACAACCTGGAAAATCATGTGACCACTAATACACTATAGACCACCAAGTACACTACACTTACACTTGGTCTAGCCCACCTCTTCATGCACCCAATTTGGCAACTCTGGTTGGGCATTTTGACTCCAACTTTAATCAGCTTGGCAATATATATTTTAATAAAAGTTTTTCTTTACTTTTAACTCCCATTTAGAAAATCGATCAATTTGGTATGGGCAACCATTGTAAAATTATTAATATGGTGGAGCAAGTAATTTTATTTTATCATTTTTTCCTACCGTTGTGTAATTCATCGCGTTCTTCTTATTTCATCATTTCAAATTGAGTAGATTCTGCTTCCTTCCAAGTATATATCTCCGTGATTTCACGAATAAGATTTTTATCTATCATCGGCATCAATCACGTGAATATTAGGATATACATTTGGAAGAGGTATATCCGCATTGTAGTCGTTTTTGGCAGCATTCACTTTCTTTAGAATAATACTCCTTCCACCGTTATTAAGATTGCTTCTTAGAATATCATATTTTGGGTGTATATATCCTCTTTCAAATAGAAACTTAGCAATACGAGATATTACTAGTATGGCGAGAAACGAAATAATTGTAGCAAACGTTTTGTATGGGAAATTGACACCCCCAGGGTAGTGAATCCAGGGTTTCCAGTCCAACATTGCCTCCCCTCCTCCCAAGCGCAAAATCAGTCCAACAATAAATCCAATCAATGCTCCATAAACGTTAGGGTCAAGATACATGACAGTAACAAACTGAAGAGGAACGATATAATTATAGTCTCTTGATTAATAACAAACGTGTCACTAAGTTTCAGCTTCATTTTGCCTTATCTGGAATGCTAATAGAACGATCTTCCGGCATAACAATGTTGGGCATGCTCCTCGCTTTAATATTAATAGACTTTTTTTTAAATTTCGAATCATATGCACTGGAATATCGATAGCAGTTAAATGTATTTTAAAGACAGAGCAAATTGTAGGGAGCTGAATTGCAACAATTTTCTGTTATGGGATATGTCACTGTCTTTCAATTCTGATCGTTTTTTAATTTTAACGTTATGCTTTTCAGGATACATAACTATGAAAAAAATATTCCAAAAACAGTATAATACAAGTTCAGTATTCAAACTGTTCTACAGCGCATCTTAAAACCAACCTGAATACATCCGTATAACGAACGGCATTTAGCTTGTCTGTCACGGTGAACATATATATATATATTATTCAATCAATGCATGGAAATATATACAGCATTGCAGTACGATATTTTGCTACCAAATATTCAAAATGCATCACCTGGGGTAGAGAGAGACAATACATGAAATCCGCTGACAGATATGCAAGTACAAATATTGAATCAACGGTCAGTGCGACTACTGAAGATATTACGATAAATACAAGGAACGATATTCTCATCGCCCAGACAACTTCACGATCAGATGCCTAAAAACGGAGATGTAAAAAATCAGATGTATAAAAACAAAGTTGGCAAGGTGTATCACGATTTTAACTTGTGATATATTGAAGTACATTAACGGTTACTATTCTTTTCTGTCCATAACAAAATTTGTCGAAATGATGCAAAACTGTCTTCTGAATCTATTTCATTTTTACGAATTTCGTTCCACATTCGCAAAAAAGAATCATAACTATACGATAATATTCTATCACTCCAGTTACACAAAGCTGTACGTACATTTCGTCTTATTGCATTTTTGTAAACGTTTCTCGCAAAAAGGCTTCCACATGACAAAGTTGTTGAGTCAACTGAAGACATTACCGCTGCCGCCGTAGCACCCAAGCCAAAAAAGGATACTGCAGGAGGTGTCAGATATAGTAATACTATTGGTAAAATAAGTCTTTTGTCATGCTCGTCCAGTGGAGAGGAACCACTGCCGTTCATATAAGATGTGAGAGTCCAATCTTAAAAATGCAAAAGTTAGGGGATATGGAGTGTGGATATAATTTTGCTATTTATGGAAAATCCAGGGAGCGTGAATGTGATATTAGGTTTTTTTTATTGAGCCTCAACTTGTGTTGAGAGTTCAATTTGTTGCTTTCATTATGAAGGCATTCAAAGCTGATCAGAAAAATATGTATCAAGAAACCATACTTGCCGATGCTCCAACGGCTCCAATAAGTATAGGTGGTATTGCGATCAAAGCTGTACCAAACCCACTGAGTATGCAAAGTAATTTGGCATTTCGATTCGAATTTGCTGCTAAAACTCGTTGGACAACGGATTGCCATGGAATACCACCAAAAATCTAAACCATTGTAACATTAAATATAATTTGAAGAATGAGCAAATGAGAAGTATTGATCCGAGCTATTACCCAATTCAAATACAAGTTCAAATTTTACAACGCAAGCTACATTACTTCGAGTAAAGTCATATAGAAAACATCAAATGAGTGACTTTGTTCACCAGATGATTTTGGTATCGGTCATTTTTCCTGGGATTTGAACTTATATACCTGGGGATAAAGTTTTATAAACAAAAGCAAAGATTATTCAAGTTAATCACCACACAGCTGCAGAGACATATACAGCTAATGTGATTAGCTACAGCGATGTATTATTTCAATTTGAGTTTGGAGTAAATAAAGCATTGCCATGGTTATAATAAATGATGGCACGTGTTTTATTTATTACATACAGATACCGCCAATATTTGTGACTACGGATACATGTATTGTATATATGTACGTCATTTTATATTGTTACAATAGCTAGAACAGCCGATTAATTTGGGCTTGCATCTGTGGTCGCGGACTGGCGTAAATTACCCCAAATGGATTAAATATATAATTTCAAGGGTAACACACTAGTTATGAATGCTCATCTGCTGCTATTCAATGAAAAATAATTTTACTTAGAACGTGATTACTCGAATGTTTGAACCCGTATTCATAAAATTGTTGTTATTTTTATTTGATGCGTTTATACAGTGTGGCTTACAATTGCATGGTGTCCCATGTTTTGTACTTGGGGTATATAGGCTTTAGTTGAAGTTTCGAGATTCGGACCAGTGTAATCAGCGTATTCAGCCAACTCAGTTCTTTTAAGTTGCTATCAAATCAGTATAAGGGCGATTCCTTTGTTTTTCAATAGTGATTCCGGATCATTTTCCGTAGCTTATCGGATTGTCGATAAAAAAATTTCAGCCACTGTTTTTGGCAAGTCGTTTACAAGTTCAACGCATATACCCGCACACCTCATCATCATAATAAAAATATCCAGTTTTGGTTTAATTGGAACCGCGGGAATGTCTTGTAGCGAACTTGAAATTCTTATTCGTTGATGAAGATGTTGGACCTCCTTTTAATACGAATACGACCTACAAATCTTTTAATGTTTTCAAACCTTTCGTCAATCGAAATTGTATCTATTTCAGATGTAATTGCGCATATGTTATCATAGAATCGAAGCCGGAGTTTTTATTGTAAGGGAGACAGATTCAAAATTGCGCATTGGTATTCGATCATTCGGTTTTAATTCGAGAAAAATATTCGATCAGAATAAAAAATATATTCGCTTTAGGTCGGTACTATTTTTGATATCGAAAGCAAGATAACCACATCGATTACCTGTATATGCACGCTCTCCTGGAGTGAACTTTATGTTAAAAACAAAATAAACTAAACTTTGGTTTGGTAATTAGGTCTCAACCCTGAATTTCAAAGGAAAAATTTGAGTAGGTCTACCTAGTTTTCTTAATAAAGTTCATACTTACAGATAGAAGCCACAAGTCAATGTATGCTCCACCACTGCTTGAATCCCAAGATCCAATCCATCCTGTTTTTCCATAAGCAGTATCTGCTATATCAATTACCGCTTCGTGGTTGAAAGCAAAAGGTAAACAAAGAATCTATGGAATAAATTTAGAGGTGGAATTGATAATTCAATTATATTTAAATGCATTGGATCAGATCTAGCAGTCCATTATTTTATATTGATTTGATCACCTTCCAATTTTATGTTGCAATGTATATAAAAAGTTAATAATTGGGAGGGAGTTTCAAATTGCATTCATAACATCAAATATTTGACAAGTATTTCTAGGATTTATTTGTTTCGAAAAAAAAGGGGGGGTCAGATAACACAAACACGTTATAAACATGTAAAAATGTCCTGGTGCATTAATAATCAATGCAACAAAAATATCTCCAAAAAGGGTATCGGTTGGAGTGACGGATGCAGATAGAAAGATGATCTGTCTATACTGGAGGAAGGGGATCCTATGACCGAATCATGAATGAATCTTCTTTGTATTTTGCGTTAAGCGCAAGGTGGAGCTGTTGAAAATCATGGCGATCAATTTTCCCGGCCATAGAAGACCAGAAATGATTTGATGCGACAAAATATTACCATTATATAAATTTTTACAGTTTAATACGATGCAGCCAAATCAGGTCATGAAATAGACTTGGCAACATGCGCTTTGTATAAAACCAAGTTTGATAAAGTTTTCTGTACTTTTCCATGACAATGGAATATGGCTATAAAATTACTGTAAGAAACAAACAAATGAAACATTCACATATGATAAGGCGGACAGCATTTTTTCTTGGAATGTGTTTGTGTATTGAAACCGCTCTCAATATACAAAAAAGAGTAAGTATGGCAACTCCAGCCTCCGGAATTTCTACTTATGGCATAATTGTGTATTGAAACCGCTCTTAAAAAACAGACAAGAGTAAGTATGACAACGTCAGCCTCCAGCATTTCTACTTATGGCGTAAGTACTTTAATAATAATAATCGAAGCAGATATTAACCTAATAAACTGCGTTTCTGGTGCGGTCTTGTTGTTTCTTTGGCAATTGAAGTACATGACATAAAATTATTTACCAGGCCTCCGGCTATCAAAATAAGTTGCAATACATCGGTATATGCTACTGAATACAATCCACCCAACGTTGTGTATAGTAGTGCGATTGCTGCAGATATAATAACAGATCCTATTCTTGGTAACCCTGCAACAATTTGCAAACTGCCACCTGAAACAATTATGAACAAATATGTAAAATAAGTAAAAAAGATAATGATCGAATGGAATGCAGTCATTTCCAATTATTTAGGCTTATGATATATATAGGTTTTATGGTCTCATACTCTGTTATACTTTACATCTTTAAATTTAAATATATTTTTATTGACGGTTCTATAACATTGCATACATCGCTAAATGGCGTCCTATTAGGAGTTTTGCAACCTCGACTTTTGCAAATAATAAACCACAGCTATTCATGAAACACTGTCAGTTATACGCCAGTTACGAGCAACCTCAATTAGCAATTTGTTATAAAATTTAATGTTCTCAATATTACTCATTGTACAGCACGGAATGTAGATATGGATCATTTTTGTTATCATGTTGTTATTTTGTTCTCATTGGTATTTTATTCCTTATTATTATATATGACATAATACACTTTTTCATTAACTGAACCAATTGCTTTGAACCTCCAGTGGTTACAGATTGCATACCCGCACCACTTCGTTTTGGCTCTCGTATCCATATTATATTGTAGCCTCGCTCTCTAGTCTCTTGTTGTCTTTACTACTTACCAAGGGCATTCAATATGGCTCCCGTGTATATAATTAAAGAAAATATTTCTACAGAGGCAACTACTGCTCCCATGTACCTGCCAAGTTTAGCTTGAACGGGATCGATGATGGTGGTGTAGTTCTTCAAATTAGAAAAGAGACGAATAAAAGTGGTTATTTTTCTTGGTAATCTTGTACAATAATGCGCAAATAACAATGTGAGGTACCAGAGAGTGAAGACATATGAAATATAATGTATAGGTTGTCCAATATTAACAAGTATATATTTGTTGGAACAGGAATAAAAATCTAATTTTCGCACGGAGAGATATTTCAAAAATATTTTGTACACGGACAGCAATATTCAGTCATTATGCTCGATTCATATTTTTTGCTCCTGGTGCTCATTGGTGATTCATCATATTTTCGCATCGAACCAAACAGAGAAGTAATCCCAACATAAAAAAAAATACTCAGCTATTCAGTTAAAAATGTATGTCCTAAAGATTCCTTAGTTCAAAGTTACCTTATCACGCAAGTTATCGGCAAAAAATAATCCGACTAAAATCAATCCTAAACCATATCCAATCGGGATGCACAATGCCCACATCAAACCAACATGGGACGTGTATACAGCTTCGGCTAATCCGTTTATATAATCACCGCCGACCCACGAAGCTGCAATAGAAAGGAACTATTAAAATTCTTTTTTTGCAGTTGATCCTAAAATGCAACATGAATGCTCCTTCCCGATACTTATGACGGTGAATGGCGAATAACAGAAATACCCATTGTCTTCCACTTTGATCGAGCAAAATGTACTACGTACACATCTATCTGAGTGGTTAAAGAAAGAATGCATCACTTAAAATAGGAAGTTGTTCAGAAAAATCTCTCCCTATGACTACCTTCGCTGTAAAATCTGCTTATTCTTTTTTTATTATTATTATATACCAATTAGGTTGCATCATGCAGCATTCTCGTTAAGCAACATACCAGTCAAAGTGAAGAAGCCTACTACAGCACCAATGTCTCTCCCTCCAACCATGATCGTTTCTGAAGCAAGATTTGACTTTCTTTTTGTAGTTAATTTTGCCGCAACGATACCAACAATGAAAACGGCAAGATAAAAAATCACAATGGCAATCAAACCTGGAATGCTTACAATCATATTGACTAATTTGATATATATATTCATAAAAGACAATTCGCACTGAAAAAAATATATAAGCTCAATCGCTACAAACTATTTTTGTCACAATGGTCCGAGAATTGTGTTTATCATATGCGTCGACAAAGCTTTCTCAGCTTTCTTAGGTAACGGTAATGCTACAGAGGTAACGATTTCCTGAGATTAGCTGTAGTTTTTTAACTCAAATTCCTAGAATTATTTATCGTCATTGTACACTTATGGTTGTAATTGCATTTCGACTTCACCTCGACTTCGACTTCACCTCGACTTCGACTTCAATCTACCACGGGGCTTACAGTCTCATTTGTACTGTGCATGTATAAATCGAGTTTCGGAAAGACTACAATGTACAGCTCGGCGCAACAAGTGAACATCATTTTTTCGTTGAAGTAAACTAAATCCATGTAAGTTGCCTATAGCTAAAGTAAAACATCTCAGCACTGTTCCCCAAATCATACCGTTTTGTTTTGATATAAACAAACCAAAAGTTGACTTAAAACTTCCAAGTACAGCACTAAAATCACTCCTTTCAATTTGTTTAAAAGATGCGGTTTTAGGCAACGATATACGAATCCGTTTCTACACAAAATATGTCATTTCGCAACGAATAACTTCGGTGGACTACTACCGACACAGCTACCAGAATGTAGCAAAACGATCGGATAAGTTGTAAAATGCTCTTTGACTATTTTCTATTGCTGAATATTTCTTATTGTATTCGACCAAAAAACTTTATTCAATGAACAGAAATTAGGCTATTGGGAAAGACTTCCTGTCTGTCCTCTAAATACTTGGAAAATGAACGCACAGCTAGTTGCATTCTATATTAAACAAAAAGTAGCTCATTAAACACGGTCAAGAATTTGTACGATATCATATCAGCATTTGGAATAAAAAAAACTGCAGTCACAAAAATGGTCTTTATTAATTAATAAGTTGAATCGCTAAAACTCAAAATCCTTCATATTTAGTTGTGGATTAAACGTAAAGCTGCAAAAACTGTGCCTTGATGGCTGATATTTGTAAGACGTCTTTTTCAAACACCATCTGATTTTGCTTTCGAACAATGTTGACTTATTTAGATGGGTCTTTTGAGAAACGATAAATCCCGTAGAAACAGATAATTCAAACTTATAATGAGCACAACACCATTAACCAGTTTCACGAAACAGATCCAAACACAGACTAATGTATGGGAGACAGTTTATAACGACAAAAAAGCAATTGAATATTCTAACGATTACCGTGATTTCAATATAGTATGCGTAAACATACTAATTGTAAATAGTACATTCAATTTGTTTAAACCAAAAGTGCGTGCCATCTTCATTCTAGTAACATTTTGTGATTGAAGACTTTTCAGTAGTTTGTTTCGGATTGTTAGAGAGGTGAAGTTGACCCGAAGACTCTCATCATCTTATGATGAATCAAAAGTATGTTTTTGTCGGTATGTTTAATGGCTACATGCACTGTTGAGTTTGTACCACTGTTTACATTGATTAATTTTTGCATGATGGACAGAATATCTGAATCTGAACATTCAACAGCATATCAATCGTTCTTTATGTTTTAGTCTGCATATTTGTCAACTGTTCTTTTATTTTCATTCAAATCCTAAGTTACTCAATAAATACCCAGGGCCTATGAGAAGACAAGTTGTTTCAGCCTCACACCACCATTGTGTGACGACTTGCAGTGTATGTATCAATGGCAGCCGAGAGCAACAAGGCAATCACTTTGCATATTATATACTTTTTAAAAGAAAACTTGATGTAATTATTGGGAAGCCAGCTTATTGTAGGTTGGTGTTATAAGCTTCAGGCACAGGCAATATAGTGAACCGAGGTCTTTGTCGTAACCTAATGTATCAACAGCACATTTTAGACCTAATAAACTCTTTATCAGGTATGCACAAAGTAATATTCAACAGCGCATAAACACCAAATCACAAAATTAGACGCGACCGTGCCAAATTAAATGCTAATTTGTAGTAGAGCATGAAATTATTCTGAGCGGCGTCACATGGCCAGGCTCAATAAGTTATCTGGGAAGGGATTCCGAGCATCGAGTTTCTGTTTGTGCCTGAAAACCTGTCGGATGTAATATAAGTTCTATTAATTGCAAACCAAGAAAAACACGGCATGCAATGCTCTTCGAAAAATGATTTTCTAAGCTATGCCAAGCGCATTTCAGATTAGTTGGTTAACACTTCACTTGCCGTCAGGGTGGTACGGTACAGCGAGGCTGATGTTAGTTTGTGAGTTTTATGAACACAAGGAATCTCTGTCAATGTATATGTAATAGTGCAATTTAAAGATGCGGGAATCTTACTCAAAACGTTTGTGACAGTTGAGGTCTTCATGTTCTCGCGTAGAAAAGCAAAGTTGTACTAATGTTGTACATTTAAGGGTCCCTAAATGCCAATGTTCAATCTGCTGAGTCACTTTGGTCAAACAATGACCAGTATTCGGGAGAATATGGGTTTCGGAATCGACACAATATTTGATCGCAAATGGATTGTTTTGCTAAATCATCGCAGTTACTGGGTTGTTGATGTTGGAAAAATTCCCTTCTTCCCCGCAACTAATGAACCAATTGCTTCCAATACTCGAAGATGAATGAAAGTCGTCAGGAGGCTAGTTTTTTTTCATCTCCCTTGAAACCCATTATTTCACTCACAATTTCGTCGCTTTGTTTCAATTCATTGTACTCTGAAAATTATGGAATCTCCTCTGCTACGTTCTCTTTAAAACAATGCTAACTCTGGCACTGAAAAATCTGCTATTTTCTGCCATCAATAAGTTGATCTTTGAATTTTAAATTCGCACTTGACTTTTAACAATAAACTTGCAGCAAACATTTTTTTCAGTAATCGAGGTGAATTTTCGGACGTGTAAAATGACTCCAACTTTTTCAATCATTGCTCTTTCTCTCCGACTGATATTTGACTTCAGTACCAGATAAATTCTAAAAAACAGGACGCCCAGCTTGACTAAGTATAGTTTATGAGTAGTCTGAAACATCACATTCTGCACAAAAATGTAGTCGTGATAAAACCCAAGTGGACGGAAACAATGCCTTGTTAAAGTGGCATGAAGGCACGTGTCGTAGTCACAGAGCTGTTGGAAATTTGTCGGACCTGATCAGAGGCAAATTTGATATGAGAAATCAAGTATCCACTTTGCATGATATACAAGCATACCCTCAATTGAATTTTCATGGCAGATATAACAAAGGTTCAACTCGTTCGTTATTTAGAACACGTTACCCTAAAAACTAATTTTTTTCAAGGCGGACATAAACTTGGTTTGAATAGAATTAAAGTTTTAGGATTTGACAGTTTAACATCATTATCTTCTTTCATATTCAACGAAAGGGGTATTACCAAGGAATACGTAGGAGCGAAACAGTTTGTCTTCTTTTTTCAGAATCCAATCAATCAAAGGTTTTTTTTATCTGGGCCATCATTAAATAGGTTCAAATAAAACAAAAGAGTTATGCTCAAATATGTGGACACGGAGGGCAAAACTAAATATTTTATTATTAATTTCCCGAAAAGTATATGCGGTCACATACCAGTTGTCGTATCGAGAGACGGACAACACGGACAACTCACCAGTGACAACTCGACTATCCAGGGTAACGGTAGCGATGCAAGGACTGTCATAGCTTTTCCAGGTCCTGTGACGATAATCCATTCTTCATGATTCAGTTTCCAAGTGAATTGAAATACCAACTGATTTGAGTCACATACCGCAGTCTACCATTCCCCATAAAAAACTTCTCTCGTTTGCTAAACACGAGATCCGCTGACGTACGCTGAGCACGCGATTCGCTGGTATTTGTTTGCAGAACCGCCACCAGATGCGCAAATTTTGATGATGTCATAGCCCAAAAAAATGAATTCTATAGAGTTCACAAAATTTTTTGAAATAAATGAAAGTAATAACCTTCTAGCGATAAAGTCAATCTTTAACTACTGAAAATTTCAAGGCAATTGGTCCAGTAATCAAAGAAGGTGATTTTTAGTACGATAAAAAGAAAAATTCTAACATATAGATTATAGAACAACGAGAACAAGATAAAAATATTAACGAAACGATCCATAAGTCCACTCCATGTTCAAAATTCAGATTCAGCTTAATTCCGATATGCAACTGAAAATTTTTCATTCAGCATCCATTCTAACATATCTTCAACATAGGCTTGCACGTAATTGACAAAAATCAATTCCGTAATTACGGCCAAATCGATTACGTAATGACCCCGTAATTGCGATATTTTTTCACACATTTGAACCTATCATAACAAACAATTGAATCCACTTCATTTTCGATGGGACATCGAGTTTGGGTTCCCATAATCCTGGCAGTACTACACGCCGGCGACAGATGTTAAGACAAGAGTGAATTCAAATTAATTTTATTCTGATTTTTATCTTTTGTGCTAGCTTTGATTTCCTTTATCACCTTCGCAAATTAACCGTCCTAATTTTATGCGATCAATTTTATCATTACCGACACTGGTATACGGATATTTATGAAACGATAGTTGACTTTTTTAAAATCGTATTAAAAAAAATGTCGGGTTTCCAATTTATCAATGCCAAGATGAGCGCATTCTCTCGTTTGATTATACTTGCGCTTGCCTCGCGACGAAGACTTGTTATTGCACCGTTTTTAACATTATTCGACTTTATAACCTAGTCAGCATTTTATAATAAAAATTGATGCCGACTTATTGACGTTATTCCGATTACCATGCTTCATTTTACATTAAATCATTTCGCGGCCTAAATGTTGTAACATTATTTGCGACAAATTTGGATCAAATTTGGATATTAATTATTTGCGCATAATTTAAATACCCTACTTATATGACATGGCTTTCCGAAAATACAAAGTTATATCGCAAAAAAATGCATATTGTGACATTTATTTTGCACTCACAAAAAAATTAACTTATTTTTCTAACTCAAGTCGACGATCCTATCCAACAAGATTG